CTGCTGTGCGTGCTCCCCTGTGGGCAATTTTACAACATAATGTTTCCTCCTATTCATTAGTTTCATTTCTATTTCATTATTTTTATATCCATCTGCCATTGTAGAGATAGAAAAAGCAAAAAGTACATATATATGTACATAAAATGTCACTTGAATCTAGTGTCCTGGGAAAAAGTTACATATCATAAATTGTTTTAATCCACCAAGTTGGGCATGCATGGATCCATTCAACAGTTTTCAAAAGTTAAAGATTGACACAAAACTCTGTTGAAAGGAAGCAAGAACTCTGTGTGATCACATGTATCCACAGTCTACGACTCCTATGAAAATTGCTTACACATTAAATGGACTATTTTGGTGCATTTATCTTATTTTAAAACATTTTAAATCATTTTTCAGTGCATTGCTATTAGTTTAAAACTCTATGCACTTCATGTAATAAAAATAAAAACTCATGGGAAGCTGAGCCAAAGAGATTCAAGACAATAGCTTACTTATTATTATTTTTTTAATCCAAAAGGTTCTCTTAGGCACCCTAACTCCTTAATGAAAGCTTATGCAGTTGTATAGAAAGTTCTGGAGATGAGAGTTTGTGGTCCCATCTGTCAAGTTAAATTTACATGTATGTCTTTTACCTGTTATATACTCCTGACTCTAGGAAGAACTAAAGTTTTCTCAGTAATACCAAAGGAGTGACTAAAGGGAAGGTTCAGGGGGAAAAAAAAAGACTGTCTGACCAGTGCTTAACTAATGATATCACAAAGATGTCCTTGCGTAAATCTTCTCAGTCTACTTAGACTGCTGCTACCAAATGAAAATGTCTTTGTTAAAGATGAGGGTCAGAGAAGTTGGGAAAAGTGAGACGCCTTCTACAGGAAGGGACACTAACAAGGACTAACAGCCCAAAAGTTCATATATGCTATTATCATTTGACACTTTTAGGGCTCACAGGATGAATAAGAACACATTATGTCATAAGTGCATTTCAAAATCCTCCATAAGTCATAGTCAACAACTGGAAAAAATAGAATATCAGAAAGTCTATGAGTACTTTAAATATTTTAACTGCTTCAATGGTATTCTATCTGTAAGTAAAAATTACTAAACCGTACAAAATAAATATATAGGATTTCTGAGAGGTGAAAACGTAAAATTCAGCAAAACTCTGCTCTACCACCTTCTCTGTCACTTGGTACTGAAATAAGCAAACTGATTTACTACAATTTCTATTGCTTCGGACTCCATTAGCTGTTAACTTCAGTCTAAGGATGCCGAGATCCACGTAGCAGTTTTCAGCTTCGGATACATACCCCCAGTGCTTTGTTTTCTTCGTGATCTACGAAAGGAGAGTGTTTCTCTAATGGTAGGTCCCAAGACTTCAGAAAGGAGTATTTTCATGTAGCAGAATATTCTGGATGGGTATACCGTCTGTCCCTTTTCTGACACATTTTTTTGACCTAAATTTTCTAACCCTCTATTTGATAGGATAATGAAGTTCTTCCTATCTTTGAGCTGATCTTTTTGAAATTAAAATGTAAACATTATTGAGGCAAGCCATGAATAAACAGTAAGGGATGGCCATCAAAATGCTAACATTCCTTCCCGTTAAAGCCTCTTGTGAATAAGCTCACAAGACAGTGCCTGGGTTGTTTTCTGCAGTGATCAATCTAAAAACCCATATTAAAAGATCTCCATGCCTAACTCAAAATGGCACCCATTCTCTCTTCCTTCTTAAGCTCTGTCTGTAAGTATATGATAAACATCTCTCTAAAACTAAAAAAACAGTCAAAATGAAGCCATTTAAGTGTTGTGATATAA